GAAGCACTTGCACTTGGTTTTGATTTTGGATTTCACCGGTGGCACCTTTGTTGGGATTAGTACGTCGTGTGTTGTGCGCAGTTTCCGACCCATCAATGCTTCGGCGGGTGATTTCCCTCCTGGAACTGCTGGATTAGGTGTGGTCCTGTAGACGAACAGGAAAGCCTGAATAATGATTTCTGTAGTTCTCTCCCCTCGAGCCTTTAAGAGCGCTCGCTTGAAAGTGTCGACGAAACGTTCCGCTTGACCGTTAGACTGTGGATGATAGGGTGGTGATCTGAGGTGCTGCACGCAGTGAGAGCGACAAAAATCCTCAAACTGGGATGAGGTGAACTGCGTTCCGTTGTCGGACACTAGAACATCAGGGAATCCATGTTGACTGAATATGCGTTGGAGACAAGTTATTGTTGCGGTGGTAGTCGGAGAATTAATTGTTACGACTTCAGGCCATTTAGAGTACGCATCAACCAGGACCAGATAGGAGGTACCATCAATTGGACCAGCATAATCGATCTGTACTCGAGACCACGGTTTCTCTGTTGGTTGCCAGGAGACTGGTGGTTGGTGCTGTGGCATCTTGGCTGCTTGTTGACACCTGGAGCAACGGCGAACCAAATCTTCAATGTCGCCGTCTATTCCAGGCCAATAGACGAAACTGCGAGCGATTGCCTTCATTCTGCTGATACCAGGGTGTGCAGAATGGAACTGACGGAGCACGGTTTGTCGAAGGTGGACAGGAACTATGACTCGATCAGCGGTCATAAGGCAGGAGTCGATGACAGAGAGGGAGTCCCGAGGCTGGAATAAGTGCTTGAGTTCTCCTGAGAAGGTAATGTTAGGCCAACGTGTCTGAACGTAAGCGATAGCTTGGCGGAGGACAGGATTGTGTGCAGTTTCGCGACTCATGTCGGCTGCTGTAAGAGGAAGGCTGCGGATAGTGACTGAAAGCTGATGGCGAACATCTTCTTCGACGGCGACAGCGGCGATCACGATATCTTCATTTACCGTATGTTTGGGGATGAGGCGTGAGAGACCGTCAGCTTGATCAAAATCCTGAGTGCGGCAGAAACGGCTTTCGAAATCGTAACCGAGAAGGATGACGGCCCATCGTTGAAGTCGACTGGCTGAATACGTTGGAATACCCTTCTTGGAGCCAAAGATGGACAACAACGGCTTGTGGTCGGTCAATAAGGTGAAATGTCGACCATACAGCATTTTGTGGAACTTTCTAACAGCAAAGACGATAGCCAAGGCTTCTTTCTCGATCTGACCGTCGTTCTTCTCTGCGGACGTCAGTGTGCGGGAGGCATGCATGACCGCTTTCTCGGAACCATCGGGGAAGCGATGGGAGAGGACCGCTCCGATTCCGAAATTGGAGGCATCGGCGGCGACTAGAATGGGTAAGGCTGGATCGTAATGTGTCAGCAACAGAGCAGAACTGAGCATAGTTTTCAGGCGCGCGAAGGCCTTCTTGCATGCGGGGGATCAGCGCCAAGGAACATCCTTTTGCAACAGTTGATTCAGAGAAGCCCGTACATCGTGTAGTGATGGTAAGAAAGCACTGTAGTAAGTGATGAGACCAAGGAAGGACCGCAGTTGATGAATATCGTTGGGAGGTGGCATCTGGTGAATGGCTTCGACATTTCCGGGGTCGGGGTGACGGCCATTAGCATCGAAGACAAAGCCGAGGTACTTGATTGACCGTAGGAAGAATTGGCATTTATCGGCTCTCAGGCGGAAACCATATTCCTGGATCCGTTTAAAGACCGAGACCAGACGTTCTCGTAATTCTTCTGGGTTGCGACCAATAATAAGGAGATCATCCAGGTATGCGGCCGTTCCTGGAATGCCAGCGATCATTGCATCCATTGTCTCTGGAATAGGGCCGGTGCGGTCTTGACGCCAAACGGCAATCTGGTGTACTGAAGGAGACCGCGGTGCGTGTTGATCGTCAAAAGCAGTTGCGACTCCGGAGCCACCTCGATTTTTAAGTATGCGTCTGCCAGGTCGATTTTGGCAAAACACGTCCCGCCATTGAGTATGGTAAAGAGGTCGTTTGGTGATGGTAATGGGTAGCAGTTCGGTTGTAGAGCGGCACTGAGGCCCGTAGAGAAGTCGGCACAGATGCGAAGGGATCCATTTGGTTTCTTGACAACAACGATTGAGGCTGCCCAAGCAGAATAGGACACCGGTACCAGGACACCCATATCTTCCAATGGTTTAAGTTCGGCATTGACCAATGGTAAGGTTGCGTATGGGACCGGCCTTTTAGGACGGAATACCGGTTGAGCTCCGGGAGCAAGCTGTAACACGGCGCGGATGCGTGAACAGCGGCCAAGACCATCTTGGTATACTGAGGCGAACTGTCGCATGAGGTCATTGGTTTCGTAAGTTCGTACGGCCAGAGATTGTACCGCGCTGCAGATGGTTCGGATAGGTAGATCGGACATGCCAAGCTGTTCGAGCCAATCGAGACCAAGTAGATTGAGGTTTGCCTTGGCGATGTAGCAGATCCCGTCGGATGTGACACCTCGAAAGTAGACAGAACAATGCAGCTGCCCAGTTAGCTGTACGTGGCCACCACAGGCGCTGGTGGCGGATTGAAGGGTTGGCTGGACTGGTGGACTACCAAGGGATCGCCAGTTTCTCGGAGATGATCGTGGTGTCCGAAGCAGTGTCCAACTGCAAGCGGACGGTCTGGCCATTAATCTGGACGTCGACGAACTTCCTGCGATCCGCACTGACTTGGAAGGTGGCCAGCAAGCTCATGGAGCTGCCAACCGGGTCAGTGTTGGATTTGCGTCTGGATCGTGACCTCTTCTTTTGACTGTGGGTGGGGGCCAGGCCAGATTTGGTCCCCTTGGGTTGTGCGGGTGGGAGCCAGCCCAGGTTTGGCCCCCTTGTGCGACGTAGGATAGCAGTATCCATCACGGTGCCCCACCCTGCCACAACGTTGGCATCGATGCTGTCGGAAGTTGCAATCTCGGTGGAAATGGCATGCACCACAGAATCGGCACGGATAGGGTGGGGACTTCGCTCAGTTGAGTTGGGAGAGCCGCTCAGAAGGTTGCGGCTTGGGGGCTGCGACCACCTGGACCAGACCAGGCGCGGAAGCGTTCTGGATCATCGCGGAATCGTGTTTCAAATTGATCAGTGATTGACACTCCTCGGCCAGGTTGTGGAGTGTGATCGTGCTGTCTTGCTGCAGCTTGGATAGGAGGCGCGTTCGGATGTCGGCATCATGGGCGGACTGGAGGCCAGAAATGAAAACCAAGCAATTGTACTGATCTTCTGTGAGGGAGCCAAGCTGGAACCGTTCGCATTCCCGATTGACGATGCCCGCGTATGTGACGAAATCATCGGCATCTCGTTTGGTCAGCTGCAGACATTGATACCGGGTGTTGAACAGCGAGGACTGTTCGCCAAAGATTTGCGACAATGTGTGGACCGTTTCACCAGAGGGAACATCACGGGGCTTCTTTGGCAGGATGAAGTTTGTATAGCGTTGGTGCTCGACCGTGCCCAGTTTGCGCAGAAGCAGCCGGACCTTCCATGCGTCAGCCTGGGAAGCCAGGTCAACGGTGAACAGATCCTCGTACCGCTTATACCAGGACTTGAAGGTAATTTGAGCGCCAGGGGCATACAGGAATTCGGAGATGCTGCTGCAGATATTGTCAACCGATGCAGTGCTGCCCGTGGAACCTGATTGAAGGGAAGAACTGGAGAGTTTTTCCGTTAAGGCAGTCATTAAAGCAATCAGGTGGTCCAAAAGTAATTTAAACTCATTATATGCAACTGCCATGGGTTCAAATACTTCGTCGCCACTGTTGAATACTGCCTCTTGAATACGTCAGGTTCTAACAATGTGATACCAACTCTCCTAGACGGATGAACGAACGAGACTCAGAATTATTTCTCGCACGGCACGGTAACTGACAATCTCGAAGTCTGTGGGTTCTCGGAACTTAGCCGCGAAAGATTAATTCACGCGAGTCGAACAGGTTCCTAGACCGAACGCAAAGTTCTACGCACGATTTCCCAACCCAAGACTGAAGCAAGAACAAGACAGGCCTTTGCCACAGGCGCTTTTACTGGCCAAAGCTAAGGCGATTCTAGCGTTGTACAGCCTCATTTTTATATCACGAAACGGTGATAAAGGTTTGTGTAAGCAAACCCTGGAAACAAGAAACATGGTTTTATGTAAATGTGCAAAGTCCGTAAACTGAGCAGAAATGTTGGAAGTTTGGCGAGAGTTGTCCGGAAAAATGAATGTTGCTTGGATACAACAATGCGTGTTTGGTTGGAAACAAGACTGTTTCTGGGTGCAAAGACTAAACAAAGTGCATGTTACACGAGTTGGAAGGCTGACTGAAACGTGTGCGTTTTGTCTAGTCTGAGTACATGTGTACTCGAGTGAATCGGGATTTCAGCCTTCCGTAATTTCAGCCTTTAATAATTATAGGGACGTTGGGTCCCCATAACAATGATGATGACGATGATGACGATGATGATGATGATGATGATGATGATGATGATGATGATGATGATGATGATGATGATGATGATGATGATGATGATGATGATGATGATGATAAAATTTAGGATGCACTGGCAATGTTCTCGAGAAAATGATATCACGATGTACAGCTGGTAAAGTGAGACGAATAAGTATAGATCCAGAGATGTTCGACAAAATGTTGTTGAGAAACAGCAAAAAGTACCCAAAGCGCACGAATGCGCGACCGTCACGTCAATTCGCCATTGTGTTCGCGGTTATCATGTACTCAAAGTAAATACAAAGGCCGGATAACAGACATACATTCCAATCATAGCCATCAGGCGAAGTTTGTTGGACATAAGAGGACACCAAATCGCTGGGGCACAAGAATGAGCTGTTAGGTAGTGTCGGAGAATTATCATGGAAAACCAAGGTGAAACCAAGGAGTCGCGAGGGTTTTCATCGAAAAATCGACGAGGGTAGAATGAGACAAAAGACTTACTTAATGAATTCATCGAGATCACTCAAATTGTTAAGTTGCGCCACGAAGTTAGGCACAGGGTGGTCGACTAGCTCTTGATAATCAGATATGTTAAGCTTTGGCTGAACGCTCTGTAAGTAAAAGAGATAGAATAGCTGCAATGCGAAGGAGCAGGAAGCGAGGTTACGACAAAAAAATCGCCCGATCAGGTCTGAATACTGTGATTCCAGTAAACTAAGTACGAGCGTCGGGTATGATAGCTGCTATAACCCGGGAGGCAACAGAGTTACAGGTGGATGAAACAATGGAAACTCACTCCGGTCATAGCAAACAAAGGTTCTGGTGACTGCCATATATGGAAATGCAAGTGATTCACCGACGCATGGGCAAGCAAGCTGTTGAAGCCCATGCACAAATGCCTGGTTGCAAAGAGAAACGGGAAAGATGCCATATAAGAAGGAAAACAATGGGTAAGTAGCATGATTGCAAGGAATAGGAAGGAGAATTCTATCCTATTTCACATACCACTTTTTAGATGTTGAGGGGATGACATATGGAATGCGAAAAATCGACCTGAACTGAGTATAGTTTCTTCGATGAATACGGTTGAGTAGCATATCATCAAGTATTCTGAGCTAACACTAATCTTCAGCGTCGGATCCCTAGCCAGGAGTGCACGGAACCGGTGATTGACAGGTGAGAAATCAGCGGCTCTAAGTGTTATCGTTAAGCAGTAGCGTGAGAAGATAGAGCGCAATGTGTTAGATGCTGGTGATGAAGCAAGCTCACCAAGAAGAACGACAGTCTAGCAAAGTTGTCACGTTCAACTTCATACACAAAAAGGTTGATGGGATGGGAGGGGTAGAAGAGAAACAAACGGTGAGACTGACTGCAGACTGTATGTGGAGTGCAGTGAGAAGGACAATTCTTTTGACTTTGTGCGATGTTCAATGTAGAGTGAGGTTGAAGTTAGATAAAACAATCGTGGTTATATGTCGGCCGCGCACATAGGCCATGTTCTCCTCTTCAATGTTGAGTAGCAGCATTTGTGTAGACAACTGCCTCACTCGCTCTCTAGGTACAAAAGTATTTGGAACATAAAGTAAAACAAAGGCAAACGCAGGACGAAGCCCAGCGAGTTAAGCTGGGTAGTATGTAGGGCTGAAGAAAAACGATTCGAACTGGTGTTTTGTGTTCTGGAAGCAGCAAATATTATCACGACAAGCGTGCTCGTTTAAATGCAAGAAAAACGAAAGAGCTGAACAATAAAGCATGCGATGAATGCATGGCCGTCCCACCTACTAGATGCATGGTTATTTCGGCACATATATGCGACAACCTAGCGACGATAGTCGACAGATACAGACTTAGTAAACCTTCTCCTTCGGATTCTAGTCCAGCCGGGCTCATAACCTACGGCCCTACAGCTGAACAAGTTGGCTGAGCCAAGGGTAAGGACAAAATCGTGAAGCTAGGTACACGGACAACTCCAATCCGAAACGAGACAAACCTACTCCGGCGACTAGCATGCTAGTCCAAGCAGAAGTGCAAGGGAGTGAATCTGTGGAAGAACCTGTGCCGGTACACTAGAACACGCTACCGCTGAAGTCGTGGCTATATATGCGTCCGCTGCCGGTGCCCAAGAAGCAGGAGCAAACTCGATGGATACACATGACGCAATCACACAGGGTGCCAGAAGCGTCACACATACACCCATCGCTCCATCAAAAAATCAGAGCCCGTTCCCTCGCAAATCGCTTACTTTTAAACGAGTCCATGGGTCGTTAAGATCGTATATTCCAGTGCTCCTAAATTTAGTGTGTACTCTACAAAAGATAAGCTGCTAGACGACCGAAAACAGCAGGATACCGTATGCCCACTAATCGGCGTCCATGCCAAACAAGCAAACATGTTGCGCACCGTCCCTCACCCAAAGTTGGCCCATTACGGGGAAGCACGGCTGCTACGGGTGACGCTTAAATCAGCAAACGACGTTGAGGTGGTTCTTTTGTCTACCACTCGCCTCATGTGTCGTATGGATTTTCCCCGACATCCGTTAGAGTAAGCGCCAGTAAAGAAAACAGAACCATGATGAATACCACCATCCGAAGGACAAAAGCGATCTTTATTCACAGCGTCCCGGAGATGCAAGCCTCTGATGAACGTGAAGCTCAAGCCCATGATTGGGAGGAGTAGCGCTACATTAGGCAGGCGTCCTCGATCAATAACGCGATAGTCAAATTAATCACAGGACTATCCTCATCAGCAAAGTACAATGGACGTAGCTCCAAGGTAACGGAAGTGCTGCTCCAGTCCAAATACAGAGCGGAAAAGCTCCGCTCCAAGCTGAGACTACGTTACAGGCATATTAACAAACTACGAAAAGTACAGCGAGGAATGTCTCCATTAAAAACCGCATGAGGGCAAGTGTAAAATGCGCAAGGAGCAGCTAACGGTCATAGCTATCAACTTGCTGGTACGTTCTAGAAGGCACCACCGTCTCACACCATTCATTGTCGCGGATGTACTGATAACCTTACGCGAGCACAGCTCCTGCGGTGCAGATGGCATGTGCCCAAAGGCGTTGTAAGTGGCTTCTGTGAGTTTAGCTGATCCGCCGTCCGAATTCTTTCAACTATGTCTTAATGAGGTGCACGCGCACGCATGAGATAACCGCTCAACCCCAAAGGAGGTAACCGTACAGAACCAGCGAATTATCGGCCGATAACGCTACCACTAATGATCTCCAAGGTTATGAAGTTCACGGGCGCCGCGAAAATAATGGGGTACCTAGGGAGTGACAAAATTCCCGCAACGGAGCAACACGGATTTCGCCAAAACCGACCACGCACTGCTAGCCTACTGATAACTCCTGCATGCTGGACTTGGCTTGTGGGTGCTGGAACAGCAGATAGCGCCTATCTGGATTTCTCTAAAACATTCGACTGACGGATCCTCGCATTCTACTTCAAAAGCTTGATTTATGGAATCGACCATCCCGTTCTGGGTTGGATAGACAACTTTTATCGTTCAACGTCATATGATGAGGTTCGCAGCAAACTATGCGGCCCAATGGTAGTCCAATACGTCGTACTTCGAATCGTGATAATAGAGCCCCAACTATTTTTGGTCTTCATATAAATGATCTCAAGGGAGTGCTCTCTTCAGATGTTGTAATATTCGACGATAATTTAAAGACATGGCGTATTATCACTACAATGGAGGATCATACAGGCATGAATAGCACTCTATACCATTAATCAACTGATTGCGTCCTTGCCGCAATGGTTTTCATCCGCGATGCACCAGCTTGAATCCACGAGGCCCCCCGTGAGTCAGGTGTCCGCTTGCCTCAAACAGACATCTCGTTTGCTCACTCAACTCATCCGCTCGTCTAGGTGCGCACCAGCATGGGACAAGAAGGGGGCGGAAGCAGGTGCTTGCTCACAAACTGGCTACAAAGCACAAAGCCTAGAATGTGAAGGATAGACGAAGTCAGCACAGTTCCGGACGAACGCAGACGTAGCAGTGAATAAGTCCGGAACACTGGAGCACGCCCACTGGCTTAGTCGAGCGCGTTGTGAATAAATTGGAAACGATATCACAAAGATTGCTTGAGCCGAGCGGACAGCTAACTCACTGAGGGCGTCGTGGATGCTATTTTCGTGACTATCGGATTAAATGACTTGCAATAAGGACGCAAGCTGTTGTACTAAGGAGGAAAGCCATGGCGCTAAGGATGAAAACAATCAAGAAATGGTAAAGATAAAGCTTACGCATGATCCACTGACAACATGCTACAGTTCACCGCCGAGAAGTGCAAAGCTACGAGCATACGCACTTAAGAATATCTGCTAGGGCTACAAATTATGTAGCGCGCTTCCCATAAGTGCAATCTCGGCTAGCATGTGAAAATGAAGCTGGATGATTGAGGTAGTGAGAAAAGGCTTCTCTTGCAACGACTGCTTCTTTCCCTCTGCTCTCTGCCACTGATAACTGTTGTACTGCTGCTTTGCTGCCCTGTGAGACTGCGACTGTCTAACTGCTCAGTCACGCGCCCAGCCAACCGAAAGAATACAAATGGCCAGAACTCAATCGACAGAGAGAGTATATCTATAGGATAGGTTAACTCTATTAGTAAACGAAACATGTTAATTTAGGAGGTCAATGTCACTCACTCTTCTACGTCTGCTGTCCAGCCAGTGTTAGTGAGTTCCGCTCCACGGGATTATCAAATTGACTGAATAGTTCGATTCCTTTGACGCGGGCTGCTATTTGCTGACCGATCAATTCTCACTCGATCCCCAAGTTCAGCGGAAAGGTCACAGCTCGTAGCACGCCCGTGCTGATGACCTTTGCATGTAGTGAACAGCCTATGTGTTCTGCTTACTGCAATTCGGCCACCTTTGTAGGGTGTTCGGAAAGTTTGACGTCCAAATTTTACCGCAAATGCTTGGCGTGCAGTTTAGGACGCTTGTAAAATATGCTATCCAAGCGTGGTAACTCTGGCAGAATCATCACGTCGCCGCGCCCGATTGCATTATACATGGCGGCGAAGAACGTGAAAGGTTTGCCCTACCTTCCATACCCACTCGGTCTGGAAACAACTAAAGTGTGCGATGAAAGTTAAGGGTGTCTAAGGAGCCATTTCAGAATGGTGTACCAGATTCTAATAAGGAGCCGAAAACCGCACGCCACCAAATGTTGAAACTCAGCCAAAACAGGTGAATGAGAGTTCATCAGTTGGAAATGGCCACGCATTATAGGAGACCGGGATGTCGACGAAACATTTTCTTCTTCCGAGTGTCACAGCCCTGAAACTCCTTCCCAGTGCATGTAATTAATTGTCCCACCGTATTAGAAATCATAAAACGGCTTGATGACATACAGGCACATTTACACTACGAGACGTATCACGTGACCGTCAGCTGAGGGTCTTATTGCAGAGCAAAGCGTGAACGGTATCAGACTCCGCTTAAAATTCAGATAGGAATACTCACATATGTGCTACTGCAGATCATCTGGGCGAGCCATGTATCATGCGACTTTTTTTAATCAACAGTGTAGTCTAATCTTGTAGCTATCACCCTAACCATTCAACGAAAATTGTCAAGTATTTGTTTTTTCACCCGTAATAAACTATTGCTTCAATGATTAAGTTTCGCAAATATGCTTGCTCGTGGTTCCGACCAAATTCGATAATAACCTTTGCGCGCATTCCCTCTGCACGTCGTCATAAGTCACTCTCTGGAGTGAAAGATCAGAAGTAATGGAGAAAGTCACAGAGTTCGCCACACCCGTTAGGTTATAGCATTTGAGAAACTGGAGCATAACAAAGTGATGGACAAAATCAGGCTGATAAAGACGGAAAACAAATAGAGAAACACAAACGTAGTGATGTGATAACCTGGATTTTGGACTAGGTAAGGTTGGTAAGCTCGCAATCCGTGGATTACGGTGGTTGCGGCGAACTTGTGACTGAACGCCGAACCTCACACCCAACGAAGGTGTCCAGGTCAGTTTGAGCTAAACTAGCAGCATGGAAATAGTCCGGATAGAAGGACCAAAGGGGAAAGGAAAAGTCGTTTAAATAGAACCGGAAAAATGACAGTGTCAGGCAAGCAATGGCAAGGGATATCAAGCCCTGGGTGATAGATCGTCTGAATCTGAACAATAAATGCTTGTTTTACACAGTACAACTTCGTAAAAGGGATTGTTCACAGCATTAACTGTTGCAAAAGACCAAGGTTAGAACAGCGCAAATGACACACAAATTATACATCATTTATGATCGCTCAGCTCTCTGCTGCGGAACCTGCGTTGCTGAGTTGGACTAGTTTAATTAGTTGGTTGAGGAGTTCCAACTCATAGTTATACCACGACCCATTTCCAAATAGAAACCCACACTTTCGTTAGTCCTGTTCGTCAGATTTTCGTTGAGCACTTGGGTGTGAGCCGATAACAAATGCCTCTATACAGGAAGTATGGACTCAGCCTGAGCTGCTAATGCCCCAGAGACACAATCACAGGGGCAGTAGAACATCGATGTGCTGAAACATATCTGATATTTTCCATGTTAAGAACGATAAGAGATCTTCCAGGAGTGAAATGTGCGAACACTATGCACATACTTACAGATCATCGCTCAAGAGAAAACACTCGACGGCGCTCCTAATGGCAGTTTTCCTGAGACGCTGTTAAAGAAACCAAAGTTAGCAAAAAAAGTGCTATCACCCACCTGATTGAAAAGACGCGACGGCTGGGGGACGAAAAGACAATGTAGAAACGTAAACGGGCTCACGTTCACCAACAAAACGGAAGGCTAAAAGATTAACTTTTCCAGTTAGTAAGTCTTACTTCAAGGTAAGGGTCGCTGGTGAGGTGTAGTAAGATTTCTTCGGGTTTTACATTGCTGAAGTGGAACCCGCTAGGCGAATCATTCAAAGTTGATGCTGCCCAGGGTGCACGACGCAGTTCATACCTCTCAGGAACGACCTGAAACGTGATAAGTAGCAAGGAGAATGAACATACCAGAATGACTGGACGAATTGGGTGGTCCTGGACGACGTACTTTTTCAAAGGAGGTAATCGGTATCGAAATATACCTGAATCATGCGCCTGCACCCAAAGGTCTCGTAAGGTCTCATCAAACTAGGAGTAATGGAAGTGAACTAGTCCATAAAAGACGGTTACAGGAGATAGTCGACCAGCAGCATGCGAGATGAGGTGTGATATCGAGTAAACCAACTGCATACATGCGAAGCGACGAGGAAAAGAGGTAGGTATGCGATAGTGTAACAGAGGAAAAGAGACTCTGGTGAAAGTAAACACCTAGAAATAGAGAAAGAATAAAAAACAAACATTAAGTGGGAAGATGGCTGAGCTATCATCCATACACCTACGAATTAGCCGAAAAAATATGAGCAGTAACGCACTCGTCAAACGCAAAATGTTTCCACTATGGGAGAAAGTTGGTTTAAATCATAGAACAAACTAATGATGGTCAAGTATATGCATGCGAGCGAGTGTCCAGGATTAATATCACTAATTGTAAGTAGGTTACTGCAAAAGACAGTACATGTGGAAAGTGAGGTTGAAAAAAGTGTAGATGTGTGAACGGTGGAGAATCTCAAACGAACAAGCATCGAAGTACCGCAACAGTGTTCTGAATAGATGTTAAAGCAAATAGTTAGTGTGTAGTAAGACAACATAATCCAGTGAAAGATAGGATGACCAGATGGCCAAAGGGTCAGCGGCATGAATATGCAGCTAAGACAATCAACTATGGTGATCAAAAGAAATTTCGGGTAGGTAGATAGACCGTAAAACTGCAAGGTAAAACCCGTTTCGTCCCTGTGAGGATATCTTAGGTCTAGGCAGTGTGGCTGCAAATAGATCCAGCATCAAATGAACACTATAAAAGTAAGAGAACACTGTTTTCTGGTTAGCTTCGCAGTAGCCACCGTATGTATGTATCATGAGACATTATCTCCATGTAGAACTGGCAATAAAATAAACCGGAGTGTTGACAGATTCGCATAAGTGGGATCACTTCGCTGATCACAAGCCACAGTGGCAAGGAAGCAGGCAAACACAGAAAACCCGGAGGTGAAGGAATGATAGTGGAGGAACAGAGGGTGAAAACACAGCGGAGAATTAAAGTGCAAAAGATGTGCTCTCAGGTGGCTGCAGTTCCATTCTCCAAGACCATGTAAATAAGTGAAATTCCGGAAGGCATGATGCTTCAGCTCACTAGGAAAGGTACTCATATTTGGTTTGTAAGTGACATTTTCACTTTAAACTGGACATGTTGCAAATCAAGGTGGACACTTATATCTTAAGCAAGAAGTCACAAATTTTTGGCAAGTTTTGATGGGTAAAGCGACTGGACAATGTTCAAGTCACATTAAAGTCAGGTAGCGGAGGCTAGTGTAAGCCCTTCTCTTACTCATGTATGTTGTATCCCTCGATCAACGGAGGTGACCTAGTTTTCCCCTGTCTCCCTATCGGCCGTTGAAACACACCTGTAGGTCGGCGCATACAAGTGCGTGATCAGAGTCCACGCTGGTGGTCCAAACCGGGCGAAAGTTTTGAACACATCCTCTCAAGCGGTATCTGATCGCCACGTGATCTATTCACCTCCATAGCTGGTCTGAGGCGGGTAAGCGCCATGTCACCCTTCTGCGAGTATGATGAGGAAAGTTAGCGCGAGCGAGAAATAAACGGATTTCTAAAAATATTTTGGTAAAATGAGAAAACATCGCGCGGGTTGGCAAGTTGGCATCAGACAATGTCCTGTAGACAGAGAACAAATCCAGCTGACTCTCTCCAGCAATGTGCTCTCTCTCCCCAGTAAAATCGCTGACCTTACTGCCACTACGATACGTAAAGAATGTGCAAATACAGGTGTCGTGATGCCTCAAAAAAGTTGACTGCATCCTGACGTAGAGGACGAGGTTATCCAACTTAATGACTACCGTGTCATAAGAACAGATAGATCTGGAAAGCTACATAATCGTGGAGGAGGCGTCATCAGTTATATCAACGAACACTGGTGTAAATCGGTGGCCTTGTTGTTTACATACTTAACATCGAAGGTTAGCTGCCATTTAATTGAATGTAGACCAGAGTTTCAGCGGTTTTCATTATGTAGTCATTGGGAATGTCGATATAGCATTTGACACATCCCGGTCCGTGTTAAAGAACTTTGCCGATTATTTTTCCCCAGCGTTACTGCCCAAAATTGAGAGCTCCTCCTGTATCATTGTTAGCGATTTCAACAAGAGTGTGACATAGCATTCATCAAATCTCTCGGTCTAACAAATATGGTGAACTTCGAAACCAGACTGAACGCACAGTTAGATGTCTTCACAAATAAAACAGTTATTTTCTACACTAAAAAGGGCTACTCTCGGCAACTCAGATCACTGCATTCTAAAGGTGTGCCTAGTCATGTACTACAAGAGCAAGTTTGTCTCTTTGACAAAGAAGCTATTCGAAACCTTCAGACAGCGAGACTGCTCGACAGAAAATATTGCGAAACTCCAAGCGACGTTTGCTTCAACTGACTTTTCAGTCTTCAAGAACGAAAATCTATCTTTGGAGTGCGACCACTGGACTGAATACATTAAATGCTGCTTCAATTTGTACTGCCCCATTGAGACCATCTACCTACGGATGGATAGATTTTCTTCGCCGTTATTGAAGCAACTTAGGAGAAAGAAAGAACAAGACTATAAATGCAAAATGAATGCGCAAGTTAAAAGACTCTCTATGGCAATTAAATCCGAGATAAATAGGTTGAACCGCCTATACATTGAGGCAGTTCTGGGCTCTCACGATTGTCGCAATCTTTGGAGACTTTTGAAACACCTATGTGGCCAAGGTTCCCATAAGCGCATTGATAAGGTGGATGTGCACAAACTCAATGTTGAACTTTGTTTTTCTCAACAGGGTACTAATTCTTTGCTCCACTTCACCAACACAGGTCAGGTAGTCACCGCTGACAGGTTTAATGTTTGCCGCGAAGTCAAAAAATAAAGGTAAATAAGGCTACTGGCTCCGATGCAATGTCACCGTTTGTCCTAAAGCAGTGTATGGACTATCTTGCGGAACCATTGACCGCAATTTTCAACCGATGTCTTATGGAGGGCACCATCCCTAACATTTGGAGACCTGTTAGGATAACACCTACTCCAAAGAAGGACTCTCAAAAGTATCGTCCAATAGCATGTACATGGGTGATGTTGCAGGTCTTCGAATAACTGCTTGCTCCTCAGATTTTCACACGTACGAATAGAAACGATATATACCAGTTCGCTTACAAACATGGCCGTTCCACACTGGATGCGGTGTCCTATCTTGTGCATTCGGTAGCATCTGCATCGGAGGAAAAAAAGCGGGGCAGTTCGCGTCCTGTTTCTCGACTATATAGATGCTTTCGGTAGCGTTGACAGATCAATCCTGCTCAACCAGTTGTCTGCAAATGGGGTTCCAACAAGTGTTTGCAGCGTGGTTAAAGACTACTTCACAAACCGCACGCAGTTCACCCAGATTAATGGAGTGAAGTCTTCTGCATTGTTCTTTAGTCGAAGTGTTTTACAGGGAGCCACCCGCTCTAGTTTCCTTATACATTGAAAAGCTCCCCATACCACCTACCCTTACTGAATGCAAGTATGCTGACGATATCGTTTGGGATGCGTAAATCCAACCGCTGTGACACCTCCTATTTTTCAAAATGTTCTAAAGGAGCTGGTGCTTGGATCTTCATCTCGATCCTTGATTTTGAACCCTTCGAAATGTCGTGAGTTAACATTCTCGTTTCTCCTAGCTGAGAAGTTACAAGTTGTTTTAGATACCACTTCCCAAATGGCAGTGAGTGATCAGTTCATACCCAAATCGTCAAGTATTAAATTTTGGGGGTCTATTTATCCCGAAACTTATCTTGGTCTATTCGCGTTGCCGAAAACGTTTTTGAAATTAGATGGTTATCATTTTATGCTCTTCGACTTAAAGTACTTTCAGTACCCCGTGACTTGATTCTTAGATTTGTGACTGCGCGTATACTGCCACATTGGCTCTACTGTTCCCCTGCGCTCTTCCCTGGGTTACAGAAAAAACTACACATTGATTTTGCGATCCGCAAAGCTTATTTCCAAATGCTGCGGACTGTCTAGTGAGACCCATGTAGATTTTATTGCCAACAAGCACCTAGACTCTTGTACTAATTGGTTCTCCAAAATTCTAAACGACTTTCATCATCCATTACATTGTGATCTATTAATAACATTATCTACTTCCTCTACCTGCTCCAAATGCAACAGTTTATGTTCACGTACTGCATCTTACCACAATTCTGTGCTACCGTACCTGTCTCGCTTGCTTGTTGACCCAACCAAAACTATCAGTATGATGCGAAAGTATTTGCTTGAATGACAAATGTAAACATTTTTACGCGTTTTATTTTTTATGTAACAGTAAGTCAGTATACGTCACCATCCACAGTGATATTGTAACATGCTAAGATGTGCACCTACCCGGGTACATAAAGCCAACTTTGATTTGACTTAACTTGACATCTACACGCAGGTATAACCACCGCTCACCGTTAACATTATGGGAGTCGAAACCGTGTTGGCCGCCCAGATGCAGCTCATCTGTGTACAATTTCCCAACTTAGGTGTTTAAATCACCAGCGAGCTCCACAGTACCCGTACTATTTCTATAACGAATGAGAGCGTTCAATTAGAGATGGAAATGGTATTTCACCGAGTCAGTGCTACAATTTGTGGACTCGTACTGAGTGCTGTATTGTGGAGCAAGTAGAAAGGAATTCTGTTCAACTCCTTCGAAATATGATGAAAAAGGTTAAATTGTTAGCCGTGAATATAGTTATCGTTCTTATGTAACATTTAAAATATATGACTCACGGTATTGCAGGACTCACAAATGTGAGACTTCAACGTAAGTGTGCAATCATTCTCTGAATTGAACAGTGGCAAAATACAAATAAAGCAACGTTTTCAACTGCTGCACAGATGTCGCCTCCATTACATGTTCAGGCAAACTGTTCCAAATATTTACCACTCTCCGTTCGAAGCACAATGGGTGGGGAACAAGCTTCACATCCGACACCACAAGTTCGTATCTGTGTCCATGTGTGCTGCATGGCCTCAGCATGGGGGAGTCACCGAGATGTAGAATACGGTAGGTCATAATGAGGTTGACTTGCACCGGACGGTAGAACAAGGTGTAGAGTCCTAGGTTCTTGCACCGGCTTTCATACCCCAAGCCAATTAAAATCGGGATGAGCCTGGTAGCAACGTGATGGA